TAGCTGTAATGTGTACTCGTCAAACAAGTATGTACTTGAACAATTGAACTTGTGCATCACCTTGTGCATCTGAACACAAAGAGATGCATCTCCCTGCCAAACCTCCCACTCAGTCAACAACTGGGTGCTCCCTCTCCCCGCTCGATCGACGCCCTCTCCCGCGCCGCGCGGTCCCGGATCTCTCGTTCCGTCCGAGGCGCAGCTCCTGGATCTCTTCGCCGTCGCCGGTCAACGGCGACCTGCCGGCATGGTGGGGTCCCAGAAAGGTGAGGAAAACGAGGAAAACCAGAGTCAATGGAGGTGGAAGGTAGCTTCAGGTCGCTTACCTGGCTGTCTTTGGGATGAAAAGAACGGAGACTCCCTGAGATCGATTCTTCTCATGCAAAAATCGCATCCTTGTTCCAGCCAACCGTTTGGGATATAAGCCCCATGTGTTTCAAGGGAGCAAGACATCTTTCTGTGCTTTCATGTGTGTCCGCCACGCACGTGAGCGATTTCCTTCCATTCATCGAACATGTCAAATCGGTCAAGGTGCCCGGATGGCTCATGGACCCTCAGGGTCCATACATGTCCACACCGTCCCTATGATTTTGATGTACCAAGGCCTGTTTGGAGCGTCTGGATGGTTTGGGATGAGAACTTCTTCCTAAGTAGGGTCCATACATGTCCATATCGGTACCAAGGCCTGTTTGGAGCGTCTGGGTGGTTTGGGATGAGAACTTCTTCACGACCAAGGCAGGATATAGGCCATATGGATCCTTCAGATCCTTCATTGCCGCGCGTCCTCGGATCGTTAGTGGCGTCCCCGGCGGAAATAGTAGGTCATTTCCCTGTAGGGCTCCAACCATATCCCTAGAAGGTGGGTAGACCCCCCAAACCACCCACCCCAACCATCTTCGAAACGGAGTACACAGTCGACGTCAATGGATCATAAGGATCTCATTATTACGACTTTGTACTGACCATGGTGGTCCTATAGTGCCAGAGTACAGGGACTTCTTGGGGACTCAACAATGGGTCGGGGCGCTGACAGGAGATCACCTTTTACATTGCCGAGATCGTCCAGCCTTTCCGAGATCCTGCTGCGCATTCCGTCGGAGCTTCCTGCGCAGCAAATCAACCAGCGTGTAATTCCAGGGGATAAAATTAACTCGTGTCTACTCATTTCTTTTGGCCCTGGGACTTAGAGATTCACAACTACTATTATATATACATACATTTAATTTCCATATCAATGATGTGCCATGATCTACCAAATGCTTTTGCTTCCACCACAATTGCTATAGTTTCATTGTGTTTATAGAGATATCTGCTGGTACAGTAACAAGGTACATACGTGGATGTATTCTACAATTACAGAAGAGTCCACCAATACAAACCGATCATTGCAAATGTTGGTTGATTCTGTCTGGAACTCTCGAATGGTGCAAAGCTGAGGCAATACACCATTTTGGAGGTTGTCCAAAATGGTAAATCCCAAAACACGTGGACATGGAAGCTCGACTCCTAAAGCCTGCAGCCTGGAGTTTTCCTACGACTCCTGGTTGTCAATAACACATGTGACTAACGCGGATTCCTTCCTTTTTCACAGGTCAGAAAGGGAGGAATGCGATGTTGCACACATCAACATGCTCCCAGGTGTGATGTCATGGAGGCTCCGGCAAACATCCAAGTCCCAGCTGGACCAAAAATCACACCTCCCAAATCACACCTCCTACAACTGCACGAGACTGTCTGGTTCCCAGAATGAGGGTCCGCCCGCCAAGTATACTTCAGGAGGAAGACAGCGTTTTCTTGCTTAGCAGTTCTTGCAACATTAAATGTGGATCAGCCGCGGTCGAATTAGGAAGTCCATGTCGCGTTGCTGCATTTAGTTTTTCTATAAAGAGCATCCGAGAAAGGAAAATTGACCGCTTCAGGTGCCTAATAAGCATGTTGCAGGATTCTAAGGGCAAAGGGTTGTCAAAAACATACCTTTGAGAAGAAACACCTTTGTCCTGTAGGTCCTATAGTCGCGTTTTCGTCCTCCCAATTGGATCCTCCTCTGGGAGAAACGTCACCCGCGGGCACTTCGTTGCGTTGGGCCCGTTGGGCTTGGGCCAACGATGGGCTGTCGGTGGTGACGGCCTCGACCTTTGACCTCAACACCACGCCTCTGACCTAATGACCTGATCTTCAAGGACGATTGAATAAATCCAATGGGACGATTGGTGGAAGCGGGCTAAGCAAAGATGGATCGGTGGATCATCTAAATGATTTGAAGTGATTCTTTGGGGTCTATGCAGCTCCCAGATGGGCTCCCATCATCTGCTCCACTGAACGAATGACGTCGGTTGCATGACGAGAAGCAACCTGCTTTCCACTATATAAAACAACGGAAAACCACACCAACAAAACACTAACACTATCTGGGATAAAAACAAAAAACGATCCGGCCAGGATTGGTTGACCCGGAGTCAATGCATGGCATATATATATATATACCAGGACCCTCCTGTCGGGGTGTCCAATGGACTACTCCTCACTACCTATAGGCTTCCATTGGGCACCCCTTAGAGGGTCCAGGTATATATAATATCTATATCTATGTAGGCCTACCAGGTTGTGTCCGGGCTCTTGGAGAGCCGTATACCGGGGTAGGGAGCTGAGGTAGCTGAGGGAGCTATGTGTAGAACATGTTGCCTCATTGTAAACACAGATTTATGTGCCGTGGATGAAACATGTTCTTCATAAAAAAAGAATTGGTTGAAAGGCCAATCATGTTGGTGCACTTCTTGTACTGAGGGTTCAGTGACTGCTTCCCACCGTTGCAGTTCAATTGCATTCACCACTTTCCAAGATCGAAAAAATGCAGTGTTGCTTGGATATCTAACACTCCAAGCAACAATCCACTTGTAGGAACTCTGTGGGCAAACAAACAACACTGTTACATCGGATGAAACCGAACAACGCGGAAAAACATATTTTTTCCACCACACAACCTCTGCGCTTCCAAGCAGAACCACGACCATCACCGTCCCCTTGCAGGAACCACGAACATCATCCGACCCAGAGCACAGGGGACGTTTGTTTCAGTGCGCGCCATGTCGCCTAGCTCAAACAACAACCAAACAACATCCACACAATGTAGCTCAAACAACAACCATGTGAAAAAAACAGGCACATCACTGTCTTTGACCCTTGACCCCATGAACATATTGACTCGAAGACCAATGCGAGTGGCGCCAAGACAATTGAAATTTAAACATGCGGGTCCTACACCACGATCACATTAAATCAATTTCCTCTGCACATTGCCACAGGCCTCGGGTTTCATCAGCTTCGCATTTTATCACAATGTACTAAGGAAACAAACAAAAACAAAAGTTTGTTGGGGAGTCAACATTCAAACAAACTCTTCTTCAGTGCTGCATCTGTTTTCCTCGCGATTCTCCCAAGAGGAGCGAAGGTCACTTGTTCTTGGCGCCACCGCGCTTTCCGCGCGGGCGTTTGACCTGCCGGCGACATCGGGGCCGAAGGGTTCACCTCTTCCCCTCCCCCGACTGGCATCCACCCCCGCCACCCCTTGAGGAAGTGCTATGTGCTTGGAGCCCTGGCCTCATGAACCCCCGACTCATGCTCTTCCACCCACCCACCCACCCACCCACCCAACCCGGCACCTTGCTTTGGATCTTCTTGTGCTGCCCCCCCGTGCGCAGCGCGCGCTTTTCGCGCGCTCTGGGCAGTTGGATCTCCTGGCTGAGCTGGAGAGGTGGCCGAGCAGTGGTCGCGAGGTGTGCCCCCCCTTTGTTGTGAAACAACCCTCGTCTCGTCTCCAATGCGCTTGTGAATGAGACAAAAAAACAGACAGAACACCAAGCATTGTGAGCTACACAACTAAAATGCGTGAAGGCACTAAACAACATCCATCAACCAAGGATGGAAATGGATATCTTACTTGTAAAAAAATGTTGAACAACACTTGGAATTGCTTAAGGAACCTGGACACAGCATATTCACCAGAAGAGGATTTAACCATTGCCTTAAGCAAAGCAAGGATCAGCACTGGGCATCCCGCCTTCATGAGTGAATACACATGAACAAACTATCTGGTGTTGCCCGGTACATACGGCCTAAGCACGTCAGATTCGCTCCATGTTAGTCACGTTAGTAGCCAATCGACTGAACATTTGCTAAAGGCGCAATATGCAGTGGAAGCCAGTTCCTGTCGTACAAATGTTGCGCACAAACGCATCACCGACTCCTGTGCTATCCATCCAATCCCGGAAAACCGAGGCGAAGAACGCAAACAACACCACGGTTCTTCGCCCTGTTCGAAGCCCTGCTGTTCGACACCTGGTGGCAGTACAGCGTTTTGGGCATGGAAAATGCGGCACCCCATACACACCCCGACCGACCCAGGGGGAGCCGGTCCAACGGTTTCATCCACATGGTTCAACTATATGTTCAACTCAACGCCTCATGGTTCATCTCAATCCATGGTTCATTCAAACACCAACGCCCCGGCCCGAACCTCGACGCCACCCTTTTTCCCCTGCCGCTGCACCTGGTGCCTCGAGGACTTCGTCGCTCGAACTCACCTGCCGAGCACCGGCTACACGCGCTGCCGGCGCCCGAAACGAGTCCAAAGTCGACGACCCGGTGGGGACTGGAATTGCTACGTTCGCAGCTTCTTGCTACTAGTACTGCCCTTGCTACTAGTGGCGACTAGTAGTAGTAATTCCAGGAGCTACTAGTAGCTACTACTAGTAGGAATCAAACATGCCTGAAATGTGAGGGGTAACAACCACCCTCGTGTAGGCAAAGATGGCATGCGTGGAGTGTCTGGGATGGGAATTGCCATGGAAGAAAGCCACGGGTTCAAAAACAGTGCAAATATTGTGGTCTGACAACGTGTAGAGCTTCGTTGTTGGGTGCTTCTTTGCAACATGCAGCACAACCACCACGACCACGATCGTTTGCCAGAGCACAAAGAGCACCGCGTTCGTTGGTTCTTTTTCCCACATCGACCGGCCTGGACGGCCTGGTGAACATGCTGTGTTTCATTGAATCACATCCCAAAATGCTCCACATGTACACATGTCTTTTTCTCACCGGTGTGGAAAAGTATACATGTTGCCCTCGTGTTTGCTCGTCGCTCGTGCAACTTTGCGAAGCATGGTGAAGTTGCGCGTCCCAATATGATCATATTGGAGCTGCAAGATTCTTCTGCATACCGACCCTCAATAGGCAATACATTCTGCCTAACTTCATTAGGCAAACAACTCCGCCGGTTTTTACAAAGAACGCCTCGAGGGTCAAGAAGGCCCAGGTACAATCGAATGCATTCGAATGGCGTATAGGAGGCAAGACCAGAGTTTTTGTTGCATCTGGACAAGAAACATTTGACAATAAGGTCCCCGGTCTATATAAAGTATATTGAAATTAATTAATGACTTCATTAGCCCCCCCAAAGGCTACGATTCGTTGTGCCAAGCTAAAGCCACAAACTACCTTGCGAGGGAGTCGGCGTTCAAAAGTGGTGATGGTTCGGAACACCGACACAAAAAGAGAATGTAGGCCAAGATGAAGCGCCTTTCGTCATACCCAGTACTGTATCGTACAAAGGTGAAGCATATATCGTCATTGTTCAACAAAAGAGAATACTTTAAGCCCCGACAGTGTGGGGTAAAGTGGAACACATCAGATGTTGAAGCCGGTTGCAGGTACGCCACGTCAGCCACGAGAATGCCCGTGCCCCCGTACCCGCCACGTGTTTGGACTGCCTGGACTTGGTGAATTATAATTCACGATCGATGTCGATCGTGTAATGGGCATCTTCCCAGGTGTCCCAACAAATAAGATGACCGTCACTGCGCAGGGCAGTAAAGGTGGATTCGCATCCATGAACCTCGAGAATGTCCCACATCTGGTCCTTGACCTTCTCGTGGCTCGAGGGGAAGCGGTCGCCACCCCAGCTCACCACAGAACCGTCCTTCAAGCGCGCTGCGAAAGCATTGGATGTGGCAGCAATGTCTTGCACGTCCTTCAGCTGATGCTGGACTGAGCTGCTGTCACCGCCGCACTTTGCACTACCCCAAGTGACCACAGACCCATCACTGAGGATGGCGGCAAATGCCCCTTTTTCTGCGTGTTCACAATGTTTCCCTTTGCTCTTAGTGGCTGCAACAGCCTGTACATTAGCTGTGCCTGAACAGCTCGACTGTCACCACCACACTCTGCATCACCCCAGGTCACAACCAATCCGTCTTGCCGGATGGCTGCAAAAGCTCCACAGGTCGCTGAGATTTCTTGCACACCTCGCAGTTGGCTCTCAACATGACAGCTATGCGCTCCATGGCCACTGCCCCAAGTGACTACAGAGTCATCATCCAGAATTGCTGCAAACGCATCATCAGAGCCTTCTATGTGCCTCACACGGCGAAGAGGATCTTGCTCCTGCCAAACACCTCCCTGTCCCCAGCTCACCACAGAACCGTCCTTCAAGCGCGCAGCGAAAGCACTGGATGTGGCAGCAATGTCTTGCACGTCCTTCAGCTGATGCTGGACTGAGCTGCTGTCACCGCCGCACTCTGCACTACCCCAAGTGACCACAGACCCATCACTGAGGATGGCGGCAAATGCTCCAGTGTCCGAGATTACCCCTCCCGAATAACAAAGCGTATTGCACCTGCCAGGGCGGTTTTCAAAACACAATGGGTTTCTCGGTTTCTCATCCTTCGCTCGATGATCGCCTGGTGAACACCCGCCAGATCCCTCTCAGGGAGGGATCCGGCGTTGGGGGGTCTTGAAGCCTCCCACATGCATACAGCATTGACCCAAACAGTGTCCAGCCCCCCACAGTGACAAACCCCGGTTTTAGGCATTGTTGCAAGTTGTAACACAAACGGTGCAATGAACAACTCGGCCATTATTACACTAATCATGTTCACCAAAACGCCGCCCTGAAGGTCGCTGCCAGTGGTCGCTGCGACCACATCCCGACGTTCCCTTCATCGCCTGTGAAACAGGTGCCCTAAAAACAGAAAACCAAAAATATATAGAAGCAGGTCAAAGGCGTCGACTCACATAAATGAAGACCTCCTTACCAAACAAACATATACCATCATATACCTTAGAACCTGAGTGGCACCTGTTTTGGAACCAGAACCCATTTGACCTCTGTTTGGATAGGAAAGGAACATTATTTGGCTCCAAAACAGGGTCAATCAGGTTTATTTTCCAACATCTTCCGACAACTTGCGGGCAATGCGTGGGGTAGCCGAGATGATACCTGGGCCCCCAAAGCGTTCGGAAACACTTCACCAGCGACCTGGTTCCTGTGATCTGCTTCACGCCACACAGCTGCTCTTGGACGGCAGAGCTATCCCCACCGCAGTCAGCTCTGCCCCAAGTGACAACCGAACCATCCTGTATGACAGCCTGACTTGCAATAGTTGGGAGGTATACAATCTACAACTGAGATGGGCTATGCTAAAACGTAGGTGAGTTGGGAGAGATCGGGGGTTCATGTCCACACGTCCAAAAGGTTTCTGTGCCAAATCATGAGTTGCGGCAAATGCGTCACTCGTGGCCGTCACGTCTTGCACATCCTTCAGCTCCTCAGCATCCTCACCACCTGGGAGAACCTCGGGGGCTCAACGAGTCGCGGGAGAAATGACTCAAAATGCGTCATTCGCTATTAAGGAGGCCATCGCTATGGTTGCGCTTGGAGGCCATGGCGTGAGCATGGCAGCACGTGGAGCCTGAAGGCCCACCCTTCGCCCCCAGGGACGTCGACCTGGTCGACCGTGTTCGTCGTGAGACCGTCGTGAGACCGTTGAAAACGTGTTCGGCGTTTTCGTGTGGTTTCGTCTTTGTTTCCGGCAGTGGCTTTGAATGGTCGACCTACGTGTTACGTGGTCGTGGTCGTTACGTGGATTCCGTCGATTTGTCCAAGAACATCCAAGAACACTTGGACATTCAACGCCCCACAGCAGCAGGCTGCCATCGCCCCGTAGGCCGGCAAACGCATAGGCGGTGCCTGATGGTTCTCGCATGAGGAGTCGACGTTCATCCATCAATTTCGCAAAGAAAACCCTATAGAAGTCCAGTCTGACCCGGTAAATCCTAGTCCTTGAGCTTCTTGAATAGTGTGAACTTGTATGACCAACTTCAGAATTTATCATGAGGTCAGTTCCTAACTTGTAGGGAAACAATGACTAACCCTATGGATCTGGTCGTACCTTCTGAGGTACGCTGATTGTGTTCGACGTTGTTGTGTAGGGTGGGTCCAGTCGTATCGAACCTGAGAAGGTCCACATCCCTGTAGGGTAGGTGTTTGAGCCCATGACTGCCGACTTCCCTTCGAGGCATGTGTACTCTTCAGTAATTAAAACATGCTAAACAACAACACAGTGGATATGACTGTGGGTCATGTCATCCTGGGGGTGGACACAGCCAAAATGCTTCTGGATTTGAGGCTTCAGTTTTGACCCCATCCGCGACCCAATCCGCGGTAATGTCAACCTCTGATTAATAAACCCCCCCCCCTCCCCCCACATGGTAGGTCAACAAGGTCAAGAAGGTATGAGATACCACTCATGAGGTCCACCCCCCCTGAATTATCGGCTCAGGGAGCCATCGTAGTCGCAGTCGTCGTCGGTAGTAGGTAGTAGGTAGTAGGTAGTAGGTAGCAGGTAGTAGGTAGTAGGTAGTAGGTAGGAGGTAGCAGGTAGTAGGTAGTAGGTAGTAGTAGGTAGTAGGTAGTAGGTAGTAGTAGGTAGTAGGTAGTAGGTAGTAGTAGGTAGTAGGTAGGTAGGTAGGTAGGTAGTAGGTAGTAGGTAGTAGGTGGTAGTAGGTAGTAGGTAGTAGGTGGTAGTAGGTAGTAGGTAGTAGGTGGTAGTAGGTAGTAGGTAGTAGGTGGTAGTAGGTAGTAGTAGGTAGTAGTAGGTAGTAGTAGGTAGTAGTAGGTAGTACTAGGTAGTAGTAGTAGTAGTAGTAGTAGTAGTAGTAGTTGTTGTTGTTGTAGTATAGTAGTAGTAATACGAAAAATTGACCTGGTTGTGGGCTCGGATGAACTGGGGGGGGTTTCTGATGCCCAACTAGAAGATTAGGGGGGGAAATAGGCACGAATAATACTTTTAGTTTGGGCAATTTCTGGTGGGTTTGTGTCTTCGGATTAACTAGGGGAGGTTTATTAATCGTAACTTGACATTAATCCCGGGTGCTCGCGAGGACGCGAAAGGAGCTCAGTTGGAGGGTCCAGGCATCGCCATGGGATAGGCCATCGCAAACCAGTCCCTCTGCCTTAGATCCTCAGGCCGACCCAACTCGTTCCGATCGAAGCCGAGTTTCGGACCGTCCGGCCGACGGACCGAGCTTATCTGGCTCCGGGGTGGCTGGCTCCGTCATGGTCGTCATAGCAAAATGGTCGTACAATGTCGTACACACTATATAAACCCTAAGGATCCAAGTACCCTCTGAGAAGGTGGGAGTGGGGTGGGTGCCAGGAGGGTCCAAGTTCCTTTTTGAGGAGGTACTTGGATCCCTAGGGAAAGATACAGTCTTCATTCAGAAGCGTCTTGTCCGATCTTTGTCTTATCATCCAATCATCCCAATTTTTAGGCTCCCCAACCAAAACCTCAAGACACCACAATTCTCCACTCACTCCAGGACTCCGTCATGCTTCAGCAATCGGCATAGGCCAGAAACGCCCAGCATCTGCTGCGCCCGACGTTTCACCTCCACGATGGAAGAGCCAGGCTTCACCCATATCTCCACTGCCCGGCCGCTCAGGAGAGAGACATGAAGGCAAATGGACATGGCTTCGACGTGGTCGTGGAAAAAAGTCAGCTGAAAGTCTAATTCTCCAACAATCTATGGAATATTTACCTACATTGGGGGTGGTTTCAGGGGTCAAGAAAACATTCCAGTCCGGAGTGTTTGGGATAGGTACAATACAACGGCCTGGCGTCTTCATCACTGTGCGAGTTCCTGAAACCAACGGCTGGATCCTTATTGGGCAGTGCCCCCCAAAGGAGAGAAGAATGTCTACACAGGAACGCCTGAGCACGGACAAAGGCGCCTTAACCTCTGAGGCACATCTTTCTGTTCGAGAGGAAGTACTAGATTCTAGATATCGGTTTGTGAGTGGATCTGTGGATGTGAGCTGGATTTTAGCGTATCTTTACCTAAAGCCTTCTTGTGCTTTCTTGATTGATTTAGTGGGACAAAGTCAGAACCAATTCATTTCCGATGGGTGTTTCAAAAAACTGGGTCTTGAACAACTAACAACAGGATGGAGACCCTTAGTCAAGACACACTTCCGTCCATCTCAGTTTTTGTAATTCGCAAGGTCATGCAAGGTCACAGGATGACACTCTCCAAACATTCAGAACGAATTCCAAGCCTGTTGCTCTTGCAGGAGGAAATTCACTGTACTACTGCTCCGCACCCTCTTTGTCCGACCACGGTCTGCGCGCGCGCGGCCCCCGCGCCTCGTCCAGGTTGCCGCGCGGAACGATCCGGAGACCGCCGCCGGTCGCCTTGGCTGTCCGGAGGGGCGGTGACGGCAGCGTGGGTTGGAAGGTTCTATGGAGGCTGTATGAGGGTAAAGTCGCCCACGGTCATAGAAATTGATGTGGTGGGTTGTATATATATATATGATATATATATATATGATGTCTGATATGATGGGTTTGGGTCTAGATTGGTGTAGAAACCAGAAGTGAGTTCGGGCCTCAGGAGATCGAATGGTCGTTCGATCAGTGAAAACTCTGGTACACAATTCATCTAATAAACTGAAAAGGAGTCACCTTCGGATTTCTTTGACATGGGGAACCACACGACTTTCACTTCTTTAGTTACCCGTATAGGGCTCCAGATACCTTCTGAGAAGGTGTTTGGGGTGGGTTTAGAGGGTCCAAAGACCTTCTGAGGAGGGTTTCTGTGGCGGTCAATGGTTGTACTCGGAACGATTCTGCTTGACATTCTAGTATAAACTCAAACAAACAAACGTAGCGATGTTGCTCCTGTCCTAGCTTTTGACATCCTATAAATTATCATTATTTCATAGACCCATGCATTGGTTTCCTCAAAATGCATCGGGAGAAACTATATAACCAAACGATCATAAAATCATTATAAACTCTATCGGCTAAATACCGCCAGTGCCATCAATTCCAAGTCATCTCCAAACACCTACCACACGTCAAAACCAAAAACCGACGTCGCGACGTCCGTTTTGGCGACTCTGGGCTCCCGGACCATCCCCGCCATCGCGAACACGTCGTCTTCGACCTGCGACCCGGTCCGATCCTCCGAAGTGAGACTGGTCCGCCGGTTGGTAGAGGAACACAGGGTCCATGTGAGTTTTTTCGGAGAATACACAAATGTATATTAGACACAATATCTTGGATGATTGTTCCATACATTGCCATAAAACAAAAACACCAGCTACATGAAGGCGAAGGAACACCTGGATGCATATGATGCATCAATCGTGTCCAAACTCCACCCACAAAATGTGCCCTTTGCCAATCCTCTTGTTGACCAACAGCCACCATGGGATTCGAGCGAACCTTCTCATTCGTGTCCTCCTTCTCCTCACTCTCCTCCTCGCCTGCGGCGTCGGCTACATGTCCCTTTCAAAGTGAACGTGAACCAGTGAAAATGATGAAAACAAACAAACCAGGAGAATGCAACCAGTGGAGAGCCAACATGGACATTAATGATGAAACATAGTAATTCACCTAAGCACAACGGCAATAGCCAACGGCCTGACATCCGGAACGTGAAATCTTCTTATGAGATCGACAAAGGTCTGGCATCGAAATCTACTCCATACTCTGTAACTACAAGTCAAAGATATCACTTATAGTTTTTGAAACAAAACATCGTATTGAATCACAAAAAGTACCTTGTATACTGAGTATTTGGTCAGCTTGCACTGAGTCTGACATGATTCATCACCACTTGACTCGTATATCGTCACATGTCACATGGTATCCATCATGCAAAACATCGAACCTGTCAGCTGCAATCAAAAATCCTCATCTCCCGCCGATCGGCGTCTGCACCAAACACATCATGGTGAAGATGTGGCGAGGAACCGGCGCTCGAAATGACAGAGGGGGTAGTCGAGCACTACCACCACTCCGCCATTTGAGCAGGCATAGAGTCCTCCTCCCACTTCCCAACCTACGGCAATGATCCGCCATCCTTGAAACACGGCAATCACGTTTGAAGGAATGAAGCAGGTCTCTCATAGGATGGCGTGAGTAGCATCCAAAACATGCCAAAGCTGCACGGTCATGTCCTTGTCCGATTGGTATCCTCTCATGAGGTGCGCGAGCAAGTGCCCATGACGTGTCAAGAGAAGCGCCGAGCCAAATGTACGAAGTGTATACATTTCAAGATATTCCAAGCACATGGCCCCGCTGACTGCTGGAACAAAAAACCGCATCAGCAACAACCCCCAGCAAGAAGTCGTTGTCGTTCACGTAGTTGACGTAGCCACTCATGAACGCAGCATTGAGTCCTTGATCAGCTCAACCACGACCATCCGCGCCCAGTGTTCCCTGCCGGACCTCAACTACAACCACAACCACAAACACACAACCAGAAACACGCAACCACAAACACAACCACAAACACACAACCACAAACACGCAACCACAAACACAACCACAAACACGCAGTCACAAACACAACCACAAACACACAACCACAAACACGCAACCACAAACACACAACCACAAACACGCAGTCACAACCACAACCACAAACACACAACCACAAACAAACAACCACAAACACACAACCACAAACACACAACCACAAACACGCAACCCCAAACAAAACCACAAACACACAACCACAAACACGCAACCACAAACAGAACCACAAACTCACAACCACAAACACGCAACCACAAACAGAACCACAAACACACAACCACAAACACGCAACCACAAACACAACCACAAACACACAACCACAAACACGCAGTCACAAACACAACCACAAACACACAACCACAAACACACAACCACAAACACACAACCACAAACACGCAACCCCAAACACAACCACAAACACACAACCACAAACGCAATCACAAACACGCAGTCACAAACACAACCACAAACACACAACCACAACCACAAACACAACCACAAACACACAATCACAACCACTACCAGTACCACAAGCACAATCACAAACACACAGCCACAAACAAAACCGCAAACACATCCACAAACACACAATCACAAACACACAGCCACAAACACACAATCACAAACACAACCACAACCACAACACAGCGCACAACCACAACCACAACACACAACCTTAGCACACAACCCGAGGACCAACAAGCAAAATCGAGAACTACAATACTCACGACCATGGCAACATGCTCCTCACTATGGCATCAAGACATGATTGACATGTCATGGTGGGGATCACTCGAAGTAAAGTAATTTGCTATGGCTATCTGGGGAACAATATGTGTTGTGAAACTGTGAGCAAGCAGTTGCAGGGGTGGGTCATCACGGCCCTTTGTTCGTTGCCTGATCCATCGAGCGAACGCTGAAATCTGTTCGCCCTCACCGCCTCACCTTCCTCGTACTCCTTTTCATCAGACTCCAGTCGATCCAAACGAAGTCCAAACCACAACAGGACTGGCCCAGCCCGTGGCCCACAGTCGCCCTCCACGGCGACCCCGTTTTCCGGGTGCTGGTCGGGTGGTGGCCAACGTCGAACGGGTGGGTGGTGTCGGGAACGGACACGACTCCGTCGAACCGTTCGCACCTCGGAAAAGGAGTATTATACGGTATAGAAAAGTACCAGGGCCTGGCATAGGGCTGGTGGTTAATGGACACCCCGAATCACAGCTTTTCGGGGCTATAAATAGACACCCCGACAGGACCCTAAGCCTCCAAGAAGAACAGTTTCTTAGATGCGATCCCTGTTTTGTGGCTTCTGACTTTTGAGAAGCTACCTTTTGGAAGCATGGGTTTAAGCTTCGAAGCTAAGAAACCTGTCTTCTTCGCAGCCTTTTGATGCTCTAGCAGCTTAGAAACTAAGCTTCTCTTTTTTCAACATGCAAAAATAAAGAAGCTCTTCTTGGAGCCTTCAAGAAGCACTTCTTCAACATTGAAGAAGCTCTTCTTTGTTATTCACAGAAGCTCTTCTTTGTATGGTTGCATGAACAGATTTACATCTAATCACAACAGGAATCATAATTGCAAAGCACACTGTGCACAGTGATTGGTCAAGAGTGCCATGGCTGCATGCTTGCCTGTAGAGCCTGACAAAGGCAATGATGAGGAGCTTGTGGCCCTGGTAAATGCTTTTCCTGACACCAGGGGTCCCAAGAATTGGAGTGCAGATCCTGAACAAGCCTGCATAAGGCACCATGGCTTCTTGACAGTTTTTTT